TGCAACCGAGGTACGCGCCCTAAGCGGGAACCGAACCCAGGTCTCTCTAGACCGCAGGCCAACGCTCTAACCGCTGGGCCAAACTGGCCAGGGCTGTTTTTATACTTTTAATTAGTGGAATCATATAGTATACGTTTGTGTCTGGATTCTTTTGGTTAATATTTCTGTGAGGTTTATCCATATTGCATGTACAGTAGTTCATTCTTTTTCTTGTATAATGTTCCGTTGTATGGCTACGTCAGAATCATCCATTCTACTCTTGATGACCATGTGAGTAATTTCTAGTTTTTGGCTATTAAAATGCTATTATGAAGATACTAGTATATGTTTTTATGGGGAACATATGCAGGTATTTCTGTTGGGAAGATAACTAGGTGTGGAATTGCAATGTTACAAGGCATGCCTATGTTCACTTTGGGTAGATGTTCTAAAGTGGTTGTGATAATGAGCAACCCCACTGCCACTGTATGAGAGTTTTGATCCCCCCCCACACACACACACACACACTTGGGTTTTTTGTTTGTTTTCATTCTGATGGGTATTTTTTATTATTTCTTGTGGTTCAAGTTCTTTGATGACCATGATTAATGAGGTTGAATCCTTTTTTCATGTTTATTGATCACTCAGATGTCCTCTTTAAAAAAAATTTTTTTTTTCTTTATTGATTTTAGAGAGGAAAGGAGAGGGAGAGAGAGATGGAAACATTGATGAGAGAGAACACTGATTGGCTGCCTTCTGCATGCCCCTTACTGGGGATCAAGTTGGCAACCCAGGCATGTGCCCTGACCAGGTATCAACCGGCAACCTTTTGGTGCACAGGATAATGCCTAGCTAACTGAACCACACCAACCAGGGTGACTCAGTGGTGTCTTCTGATGAACAAAAGTTCTAAATTTTAATATAGTCCAGTTTATTTTCTGGGGAGGATATTTTTGCACCATATTTAAGAAAAGTTTTGCCTTTGCCAAGGTCATAAAGGTGTTCTATTTTTTCCTATAAAACCTTTATTGCTTTGCTTTTTTCATTTAACTCAGCATTCTACTTACATTGATATGTGTATGTGGTATGAGGTAGGCATTAACATATGTCTTTTTTGTAATAAGTCATTACTTTAGCCCATAATATGCTTATGGAAAATATTTTGAAGAGGAACATTATTTCAAATTTTGAGGAACTAGCAATTTTGTATGCCAGTGATTTTTGTGTAAATCACTATATATTTTCACTTAAGCATCGCACTCTATTTTACCAACTAATAAACTAAGGCTGAGGGAGAATAAGATCACTATACACAACAAAGGAAAGCCACAGCCAGTGTTTGAACCAAAGTCTAACTGTTCCATGTGCTTTTCTTTTTCTACAAAGAAGAAAGTCAGGTTAGGTTTGACAAGTAATGGATCAGGCAATAAATCTGGTGGTGATCTAGGTACTATTATGTATCATCTCATTCTATCAAAGTAAAATCTATTTCTAAAATAAAATATAAGAAATAAGAAGAGAAAAAAATTGATAATCACCTTCATGGGGAGTAGGTTGAATAAATTATTTTAATCTATTCAATGGAATACTAGTGGCTATTTAAAAGCCAATTTTGAAGAATGTTTTTTTTTTGTTTTTTATCCTCACCTGAGGACATTTTTACTTTTTTTTTTTTTTTCCAGATAGAGAGTGGGAGGGAGAGAGGAAGAGAGAGAGAGAGAGAGAGAGAGAGAGAGAGAAACATAGACGTGAAAGGGACACATCAAGTGGTTGCCACCTGCACGACCCAACCAGGGCTGGGGACAAACTGCATCCGCGGTACATGCCCTTAGCGGGAACTGAACCCAGGTCTCTCTGGACCATATAGGCCGACACTCTAACTGCTGTGCCAAACCGGCCATGGCTAATTTTGAAGACTGTTTAATAGGATGGAAATTAATGATAGAATAGTAAAGGGAGGAAAAAACAAGTATATAACTGTGTATAGTGGTATGATTTTTAAAAATACACATAGAAAAATTGTAAGGAATATGCTAACATTTTAATAGTGGCTATTTTGGGGTAGTAGGATTATAAGTACTTATTTTCTTCATTATATTTGTGTGTCTGAAAGTATTAATTCCTTTTTTCCCCCAGATAAGTGTAGATTCACATGCAGTTATAAGAAGTAATAATAGAGATCACCTATACCCTTTACTTAGTTTTCCTCAGTAGTAACATCTTGCAAAACTATAGTACACTGTCACAGTCAGGGTAGTGGCATAAATATAGTCAAGATACAGATTATTTTCATCACCACAAAGATACTTAAGGTTGTGCTTTTAGAGCCACACCCACTTCCTTCTCACCCCCACCTTCTCCCTAACTCCTGGCAATAACTACTATGTTCTCCATTTCTATAATTGTGTCATTTCAACTGAAATGGGATTATATAGTATGTAACCTTTTGTGATTGACTTCTTTCACTTAGCATAATTCTCTGGAAATTGTTGTTGCACACATCAGTAATTTATTCCTTTTATTGCTGAGTAGTATTCCATGATATGGATATACCACAGTTTGTATAACCATTCACTTATTGAAGGATATCTGGGTTGTTTCTAGTTTTGGAGTATTATAAATAAAGCTGCCATAAACATTAATGAACAAGCTGGGATGCACCAGCTTTTCCCACTGCCTCCAGGTATGGGGAGAAGATGTTTTCATCAAAGTGCATGTCTGTGTCCTGGGGAAAAGTTGGCAGCCACTCTGGCTCTTTTGAAATAATTTCCTCCTCTTTCTTTTGTAATGTTCTCTCTCTTTTTTAATCCTCACCCGAGAACATTTTTCCATTTTTGTTATTGTTCAGATAGAGTGGGAGAGGGAGAGAGGGAGAGAGAGAAACATCTACGTGAAAGGGACACATCTAGTGGCTGCCTCCTGCATCACCCCAACCAGGGCCGGGGACAAATCGCAACCAAGGTACATGCCCTTGACCAGAATCGGACCCGCACCTCATTGGTCCGTGGGCCCACACTCTAACCGCTGAGCCAAACCGGCCAGGGTTGTAATCTCTTGATCTAGATGTCATGGAGCACTCACTATGCGTTTAGAAAATACTTTCTTGTGTTAAGGGTTGTGACACACGACCACCTACAAGGAGTTACCAGTTAGAAGGGGCAGTTCCTCATGGAACACAAATAACGAAGAGGCAGAGGCAGGTGCCACAGGAGGCCCCATGATGCTGAGTGAGCTCAGGGTGGGGAGGAAGCATCATGGAAAATGTGGCATTTGAATGTGAACTCTTGGGGGACTTGCAGATGCCCCAGCTGCAAATTGGAAGAAGAGACATATAAAACGAAGGATGAGAGCAAAGTCACTGAAGTGGGAAAGCATGTATTGGATGGGGGGCAATGAGGAGCACTAGCAGAAGTGAATTGACCCAGACCGTGGAGAACTTTAAATACCACACTAAGGATCTGGCTTTTATTTGTAGTAATTAAGTGTTTTTGTAAAACCAGCTACATTGCCAGGATTGGGAAGACGTAAGGGTCATGTGAGAGTGTCTTCTTGGTCTTTTAAGTACCTTCATCTTATGTGGCAGAGAACAACTTCCACACATTTTCAGTTAATCTTCAACAAAAAAACCTTCAGTTGGATGGTAGTATTCCCATTTTACAGTGAGAACACTGAGAGTTAAGTATCTGACCACAAACTGCTCTTTCTTGTATAGGAAGGTCTACTGCCTACTGACAGAAGCTTCTCCCAACTCCTTGGGCAGAGTCCATCCTTTCTTTCTCCTTTCCTGTCAGCAGATATTTGGAAGATTAAGAGGATGCCTTTAAATCTGTCAAGGCTAAGATAGAATTTATACTTCTGGACCTCAAGGCAGGGGATGACCAGATGACTTTGAGGTCACTTTTATCCTTGGGTAGCTCAGCACCCATCTTCCCTTCATTGCCTGGGAGAAGCATATACTCCCCTTTCATTCTGTCACAGTATTGAAGCTGGAAGGATCCTTAGAGATACTTAGTTCACCCTCTGATTTTTCTGGTTGGAACCAGAGTGGCTAAGCCTCTTGTCTACCCCCTACACATACCACAGGTTTTTGGCAGGGTTTGGTCCATTCTACCTTGCTGATTGTCTCTCAATGTTATTGTATCCCCAAATCTTTAGCCCCCTCCTTTCCCTCTTAGCACATATTTGTTCCCACAGGTTTTCTATTTTTCCTATAATGTGTGTTTTTAAAAGAAATATGTTTTTATTGTTTATTTTAGGAAGAGAGAGATAGAAACATCGATATGAGAGAGAAATGTTGATCAGCTGCCTCCTGCATGCCCCCCACTGGGGATGGATCCCACAACCCAGGCATGTGCCCTGACCAGGAATCAAACCGGGACCTCTCAGTCCATGGAATGATGTTCAATCCACTGAGACACATCAGCCGGCCCCCCCACAATGTGTTTTTTAAAACTTTAAGTTTTAAAAGAAAATCTGCTGCTTCTTTTGAAATGAGGCTGAACTCTAGATAAATACCTATTGTCTTGCCTGCTTTCATTTGGATAATTTCTGTGTGGCTCATAGAAATAGGGGCTTGGATTCAGATACCTTCCTAGAGTGTGCTTCAGGAAAGGTATTCTAGTCTTTTAAAGTTCCTCAATAACTCCTTGGTTGACTGGCAGGTGCAGAAATTCTGGATTGGGGATGACCAGTTCAGGGATGCCTTCTTGAGGGGAGAAGGGAGTCCATGCAACATGCTTCCTGTAATCCGAGGACCAGCGTAGCCCCTCTGGAGCTGCATGGAGCAATGTGTTGTGCAGTCTCTGGCATGGTGTAAAGAATACTGTCAGAGGCCCCAGAGACATCCTACTACACAGAAGTGGCCTGATCTTGGGCAAACTAATGTCACCTCTCAAGACCTCAGCTTTAATTGTCTGTGAAATGGTGATACTAAGGCCCACTCCACAGGGCTGGCAAAAGTACACCTGTATCAGTAGTAGACTAAAGGTAAAGGTTGTTGTTGCTGTCATTGTCATTATTAGGGCAGCGTGGACATTCTCAGACTGACTCTCCAGAGTGAACTGACAGGAGATGAACTTGAACACATAGCCCAGAAGGTATGGAGGTCTCTGGTGGGGTGAGGCCTCCTCCCCTCAGCCAGTTCTTCTTCCTTGACGCTGAACCCTCATTCCAGTGCTGCCTGGAGCCATCTCTGCTGCTGCCTGGGAACATTTCCTTTCAGGCACTCTGAGCTGACCTCAGCATGGTGTGCTGCTTTGGAGGATGGGGAAACCCCCCCTAAAATGAAAACTAACCTGCAATTTCTACTAACTTTACCCATCTGGTGTTCTTGCTGCTGTGTGGCTTCTAACAGAGGTTCTGAAATGAATTTTTAGAGGGGAGCGTCAGACTAACTCTTCAAGCCTTTGGAGGAGCAGGTTGTCTGCAATGATCAAGGTGCAGAAGTTCTGGGCTTGACATACGATTTCTGAGCCACCTTTTTCTCTCTTTTTCTCTTCTCAGGCAGGCAGGAAGACCTATGCCATGGTATCTGGCCACGCATCCAGTCATTCCCTGGCCTCAGAACTGGTGGAGTCCAATGATGGACATGAGGAGATCATTAAGGTACGCTTAGTTCACGTCCACCTTTTCTCCCTCCATTCTTTCTTCCTGCTGCTTGTGAGAGGGAGTGCTGGCTTCATCAAAGGGAGCTTATGGTGTGACTAGAAAGAACCAGATCTGTGATGCTGGTTCCTGACCCTCTCCTGGGAAAATCTTAACACCAGGAGGCCCAATCAGTCTGTAGTGACTTTGGTGCAACCTGACTGCAGGCATTGCAGGCATAGTGATGGATGTGATGACCTTTCTTGGTGTCTATCCACTGACTACATGGCTGAGGTTATGGAGACAAGTGGAAGGTGTGTTATGAAACATAGTTTTAAAAATTAAAACAATTTTTATTTATTTAAAAATTTTTAAATTGATTTTAGAGAGAGAGAGAAACATTAATATGAGAGACAAACATTGATCAGTTGTCCAACCAGGGATCTAACCTACAACCTGGGTATGTCCCCTGACCGGGAATCAAATTGCCACCTTTTGGTGTACAAGATGACACTCCAACCAACTGAGCCACCCCAGCCAGTGCTGTGATTTCTTTTTAATAAATAGCTTTTTGAGATATAATTCATGTACCATACAATCAATGTAAAGTGTGCAGTTCAGTGGTTTTTAATATATTCACAGAGTTGAGTAACCAGCATTACTATTAATACGAGGTCACTCCTTCTAGCTCTTGGCAATCACCAATTTACTTTCTGTCTCAATGGATTTGCCTCTTCTAGACATTTCTTTTTTTTTTATCCTCACCCAAGGACATTTTTTCCTATTTTGTTCAGATAGAGTGGGAGGGAGAGAGAGAAACATCGACATGAAAGGGACACATCGAATGGTTGCCACCTGCACGACCCAACCAGGGCCAAGACAAACTGCAACCGAGGTACACGCCCTTAGCGGGAACCGAACCCGGGTCTCTCTGGACCGCAGGCCAATGCTCTAACTGCTGAGCCAAACTGGCCAGGGCTACACATTTCATGTAAATGGATTCATACAACATGTGGCCTTATGTGCCTGGCTTCTTTCACTTAACATATTTTCAAGGTTCAACCATGTTGCAACATATGTCAATATTTATTTTTTTTAATGGCTGCATAATATTACCTTGCATGGCTATCCATTTCACACTTTGTTACCTACCTATCAATTGATGGACATTTGAGTAATTTTTGCTTTCTGGCTATTATGAATAATGCTGCTGTGAATATTCATGTACTAGTTGAATATTCATGTGAACATGTTTTCAGTTCTCTGGTATATACTTAGGAGTGGAATTGCTTGGTCATATGGTAACTCTACATTTAATCTTTTGAGGAACTACCAGATTTTTCCCAAAGTATGTTTTTCATTGTACATTCCCACCAGTCATGTATGAGGGTTCCAATTTTTCAACATCTTCACCAACACTTGTTATTATCTTTTTTATCATAGTCATCCTATTGGATGTGAAGTGGTATGTATTGTTGTGATTTTAACTTGCATTTTTCTAGTGACATTTTTTCATATGCTTACTGCCAATTTGTATATTTTCTTTGGAGAAATATTTTCTCCAATCCTATGACTACTTAAAATTTCAGTTGTGTTTTGATTGTTGGGATGTAGCAAAGATTATATAAAGATGTCCTATATATATTCTGAATGCTAGACCCTTATTAGGTATATGATTTGGAAATATTAAAATATTTTTTCTATTCTTTGGGGCTTTTTTTTTTTTTTTTACATTTTCTTGGTAATGTCCTTTGAAACAAAACATTTTTTGTTGTTGTCGTTTTTTTAATCCTCACCTGAGGATATTTTTACATTTATCTTCAGACAGAGTGGGAAGGAGGGGAAGAGAGAGAGAGAGAGACACATCGAGTGGTTGCCTCCTGCACGACCCCAACCAAGGCTGAAGGTGAACCGCAACCAAGGTACGTGCCCTTGGCCGGAATTGAACCCGGGACTCCTTGGTCCGAAGGCTGATGCTCTAACAGCTGAGCCATACCGGCCAGCGCAAAACAAAAGTTTTTAATTTGAAATTCGATTTATATATATATATGTTTAGTCACTTGTGTTTTTGGTGTTGTATCTAAGAAGGCTTTTGCTAATCTAAGGCCACAAAGATTTATTACTATATTTTCTTCAAAGAGTTTTAATTTTAGCTCTTATGAATAGGACTATGATTCATTTTGGGTTAATTTTTGTGATGGTGTGAGGAAGGGGTCCAATTTCATTCTTTTGCATGTGGATCTCTGTTTTTACCAACATCATTTGTTGGAAAGACCGTTCTTTCCCCCACTGAATTGTGTTGGCACCTTTGTCAAAATCAGTTGAGTGTGTTTTTATTGTATTATTATTATTTCTGGACTCTCAGTTGTATTCCATTGATCTACAAGTCTGTCCTTATGCTGGTCCACTCTCTCTTGATTTCTATAGCTTTGTAATAATTTTATTCTTTTTTAAGATTGTTTCAGCTCTTCAGGATCCTTTGCATTTCCATATGAATTTTAGGATCAGTTTGTTAGTTACTACAAAGAAGCCAGCTTAGATTTTGATAGCAACTGCGTTGAATCTGTAGATTGATTTGGCAAGTATTGCCATCTTAACAATACTGTTTTCCAGTCCATGAAATGAAGACAGTTCATTTTTTAAGATCTTTTATTTCTTTCAACAATGTTTTGTAATTTTCAGAATACAAATCTTGAACTTTGTTTAATTAATTTCTAAGTCGTTTTTTTCTTTTTGTTGCTATTCTAAATAAAATTGTTTTTTAATTTCATTTTTGGACTGTTCATTGCTAGTGTATAGAAATACAACTAAAGGTATTTTTTGTATGTTGATCTGGTATCCTACAACCTTGCTGAATGCCTTTATTTGTTCTAATAGGTTTTTGTGGATTCCTTAGGATATTCTATGTACTTGATCTTATCATCTGCCAAATAGAGATAGTTTTACCTCTTTGCGATCTGAGTGCTTTTAATTAATTCTTATCTCTTACTCAAAATTTTTGTGTGGCCCTTAAAGAAAGTAAAACTACCCCATAATTTTATTAATGTAATCTTTGTTAAACACTTTATTGTATATCCTCCCAACATTTTTATATACATATGTATTTTATTCAAAAAATAGAATTGTATTATATACTTTATTCTGTAATATGCCTGCCCCCATCCCGCCAATTTCATTGTAGTTTATAACATCTTCTGTGTCCATAAATGTAAATATCTGGTATTCTAATGGCTGCATAGTATTCTGTTATAGAGATACCATAATTCATTTATGTATTTTCCCATTGGTAGACATTTGTCTATTTCTGTTTCTGCAGCCATAAACAATATTTTGCTAAATGTGTTATTAAATTGTATATGTCTTATAGCACAAGTAATAAAAAAAATTGTAAGATTCAAGCATGATATATAGAGAAAATGTGTAAATTCCCTTTACAGCCTTCCTTCCATGAGTTTATATATATATATATGGAATGTTTATGCCACTTTAGCTAAATTTATTCCATTAGGATAAATTTCCATAAGTAGATTTTATAGGTGGAAAAGTAAATATAGTTGTAAGTCTTCTGATCTGAATCACTGAATTGGTACCCAAAAGGTGGTACCAATTTACCCTCCCACCAGCAGTGTATGAGGCTGCCTGTGTGGAATTGATTTAACTGGAGGTTTCTTTTTGTTTGTTTGTTTGTTAATTGTTTTTATTGATTCGTAGAGAGAAAGGAAGGGAGAGAGAGAGATAGAAACATCTATGTAAGAGAGGAACAGCAATCAGCTGCCTCCTGCACGCCCCTCGCTGGGATCAAGCCCGAAACCCAGGCATGTGCCCTGATCGGGACCTTTCAGTCCATGGGACGACCCCCAGTCCACTGAGCCACATCAGCTGGGCAAACTGGAGATTTCTTAACTGAGGGGTGTTGTTTTCTTTCTTTCAGGTGTATTTGAAGGGGAGGTCTGGAGACAAGATGATCCATGAGAAAAATATTAACCAGCTGAAGAGTGAGGTTCAGTACATCCAGGAGGTGGGCACCCTTTCTCTCTTTGGAAATGACCTTGGTCATTTCTCTAAATGTCACACTTTCTTAGCTCCCTTCTTATGTGGGTTCTGCTTTTCTCCCTTTTACTTCTTTCATCTCTAAAGTGCCATTATACACTGTCATCTGTTAAATATAAAAATGTGCCTAGCACCATCCCCCAGCCATTCTGTCTAAAATTGCCACCTTTGCTTTCCCAGCTTTTCCTAATCCTCACCCTGTCTCCATATAACATGCTACATGTGTTACTCATTTGTCTTTTGTGCTAACCAGAATGTTAGCTCCCTGGGGCAGAGCAGGGACTGGGCTGTAGCCCCTCCTGACTAGGGACACACCTTCTCCCAGCCAGTGCTTGGAACAGTACCCTGACTCCTAGGAGTCCAGTTGGGGATGGCCACAAAGATGGGTGTGTTGGTGTGCTGTCTTTCTCTATCCCAAAGCTGAAGCTCCTTGTTCTCCCCTCCCAGGCCAGGAACTGTTTGCAGAAACTCCGGGAAGATATAAGTAGCAAGCTTGACAGAGATCCAGGAGAGTCTCACCATCGACAAGAGATACAGGTAATAGGAAATGGTCCATGGTTGGGTCCTCACTGAGGAGGTGGGGTTGTGCCAGGCAGTCTATTTACCAGTCACCCCATGGGTGCTGAATCTAACACCACTGCCAGGAAAGGAGAGAATATAGGTGGTGATAGTGTCTCGAAGCACCCACAGCCTTGGTAAGGGGCACTGGCATTTACATACCTCAGCTCGTGTATAAGTACACCTGTTCCTAAAACACTGTCCAGAAATTGGACTTCTAGAAATAAAATTATTGTTACATTATCGGCAAAACCTCTTATCTATAAGTATTCTGTGATCCATCTTCTTGTAATACAAAGTCTGATAAAGCAGTCACCTATAAATCCAAACCGATAAGTTGATTGTGTTCAATTTGGGTGACACCTGTAGGGTGAATGGGAAGCTCCTTGAGGTTAGGGTTTACCGCTGTCTCTGCATCCTCACACCCAGCACAGGGGCTGCGATGCAGAAGGTCATCAGTAAAAGTTTGTTCAACTGAACTAATTGGAGAGACCTTCTTGGGATAGACACTCCTGGGATCCTGCTTTTCAGCTTTTCTATAATTTGAGGATAGAAATGTCCTCAGGAAAGCAGAACTGTCTTTTCCATGACTACACACGTGTGTGTGCGCACACCCCCCACCCTCGTTAGAGTCTGAGTTGTTTCTCCTTCACGTGCATTTGGTTTGGTGGGGTGGTCTTTCTCCAGCAGCCCCTGCCCTCCTTCTCCTGAGGGAATCATGACCAAGAAGCTGGTGCCGGCCAAGTTCCTGTTTGGTTTGGGTGTGTACTGGCCGATCCCCCCAGTGCACTTAGCTTTGGCTGCAAGGAGGACTTTCACTGCCTGAGCTCACATCTAGTTTGTGGGAGGTGCTGTGTCAGGTGACTGAAGAATGTGTGTTCAGAGACTGGCCCAAAAGTCCAGGCCCCTTGTTTGCACAGTCAGCAGTCATATGATGAATAATCAGGTTTGGATTGGAAAGAATTGTAGCAAATGCTGTTTCGCCTTTGATTTATGATTAGTCAAACCTTGTCAGGATCCCTAAGGGGCAAGGGAAATTGTCTGTGGCAGGCAGCTGCTTGTATTCCCTGGGCTGCAAGGACTGGGCCTGCATATTTTCAAGTCTGTTGAAAGGTTTTAGCCTGAGGTTTCCTTCATCCTTCCTGCAAGGCTAGAGTATTCCCTTTCAAGGTGGCACACGTTTCTCCACTTCTCTCCTTTCCATTTTTCCATATAGTACTAGGAATCTTTCTTTCCCTTTCCTTCCCCCACCCTCCTCCCTCCTCCCTCCTCCCCTTCCTTCCCTCTCCTCCTCTTTTTTTTAAATCCTCACTTGAGGATATTTTTCCCCCCATTATTCTTCGGATAGAGTGGGAGGGAGAGAGAGAGAGAAAGAGAGAAACATCGATGTGAGAGAGACACATCAATTGATTGCCTCCTGCATGACCCCAATCAAGGCCAGGGACCAGACAGCAACCGAGGTCCGTGCCCTTGACCAGAATCGAGCTCGAGACTCTCTGGTCCCTGGGCTGATTCTCTAAGCACTGAGCCAAACCGGCCAGGGCTCCGCAACTCAGTCTCCTCCTTTATCTGTCTATCTATCTATCTAAGATTTGAAATCTTAGAAGAATAATGTTTTGAAGTTTGTTGCTTGGGACTGTTTTAACTACCAGTTTTATTTTATTTACTTTTTTGAACAGGTGGTACTAGAGAAGCCAAATGGTTTTAGCCAAAGTCCCATGACCCTGTACAGCAACCCACCTGAGGTAGGTGACAAGGAAAATGGTGGTAATGACTGCTTAGCCAGGAGGCAGGATATCCTCCTCCCTGACCCCTTTATTGATTGCTTTTTCTTTTTTACTACATATAAGAGTAGCACTAATTTGCTGTAAAAATTCAAACAATGGACAAACATATAAAACAGAAACTCTCCTTCCCAATCCACTCTTTGGAAGTATCCACTGTTAGCAGATTGAAATGGGTAGATCCTTCTAGAGCAGTGCTTCTCGTCCTTCACTGCCAATTGGAATGACCTTGGGAGCTTTAAAGGACATGATGCCTGTATGCCATCCCTAGAGACTGTAATTTAATTGGTCTGAGGTGTGACCTGGGCATCAGGACTTTTAAAAGCTCTTCAGATTATTATAGTGTTTAGCCAAAGGTAAGTACCAACGTTATAGAGTGTTTAAAAAACACAGACAACCATATTTAAATACCCTATGTATGTGTGCATGTATCTATATTGTTATATACATATGTACCATCTATAAATGTATGTATTTAATATACACATTCTTTTCATAAATACAAGGTCATAATAATGATTCCTTGCTTGCTTGTTTTAATGAAGAGTATGGTGTAGCCTTCTGTCCACGTCAGTACCTGCAGACCTACCTCATGTTTTTGAGTAACGTAGTATTTCCTGCCGGGGCTATGCTCACTCTAATATATCCAACACATGATTTAAATGTGTCTAGTAAATGTGTTTTTGATTTTCACAATGGACTTGTTTTCCTTTCTATCCAACACCACTTTTTTAGATCTATCCACATTACTTTGTCAAAATCTAGTTGGTTGTTTCTAATTCCTCCATGCAACATTTTCTTTTCTTTTTTTTTTTATCCTGACCTGAGGAGATTTTTCCATTTTTTTGTTCAGATAGAGTGGAAGGGAAAGAGGAAGAGAGAGAGAAACATCGACACGAAAGGGACACATCAAGTGGCTGCCACCCGCACGACTAACCAGGGCCGGGGACAAACTGCAGCCGAGGTACATGCCCTTAGCGGGAACCGAACCCAGGTTTCTTGGGACCATAGGCCGACGCTGTAACAGCTGAGCCAAACCGGCCAGGGCAACATTTTCTATTTTTTATCCTCACCCGAGGACATTTTTCCATTTATCTTTAGACATTAGTAGGGAGGGGGTAAGGGAGATAGAGAGAAACATCGATTGGTTGTCTCCCGTGCGACCCTGACCAGGGCCAGGGATGAACTGCAACCGAGGTATATGCCCTTGACTGGAATCGAACCCACAACTCATTGGTCTGTGGGTCGACGCTCTAACCATTCAGCCATACCAACTAGGGCTCCATGCAACATTTTCTAAGTCCCTTTTTCTCTTCATGAAAATTTCCCATGTCATTCAGTTGTCTTCTGAGAACACCGTTTGAACTAAACACATAGTAGTTCTGCTCCAGGAGCCATCAAGTTGGCCTCACCTGCCCCGCAGCAGAGGTCCAGATGTGGGGAATTGACCTGACAGCTTACTGACGCTAGATTCTGAATGTTGTGATTCACCTCAGAGGCGCAGTTTGGATTTTTCTCTTCCCCTGAGTCACCATCGTTGGCAAATATGCTATTGACAACAAGTTATAATGATACTGGTATTATCTATTCACCCTCTTTCTTCTCATGAGCTTCAAGCCCTACCAGATAGTATCTTGTTTTTGAGGCAGCCCGTAAGGAAGGGCGTGGTAAGGAATCTTCTGACTAATTCACAGACAGAGAAATGAAGGCCCGCAGGACTAAGTAATAATTCAGTTGGGACCCCGTCGCCCTCTTCCCCACTGGGTTTTGGTTTGAAGGTATTGCTGCTTCCCACTGTGTGAGGCAGGGAGAGGTTTTTTTGTCAGACTCACAGGCAGCTGGTAACTGAGGTGTCGTATTTGTGCTGCAGAGATGGGGGCGAGACCCTGCATGTCAGCTCAGCCCTAACACAACCCATGATTGGGTGTGTCTGCAGGAGGCTCACAGTAATCAGTGAGACACCTTTTCCTACATAGATTCAGATTCCTGGACTTATTGGGTGCTTTTGCCCATCCATCAGTAACACTTCATATACTGATCTCTGTGCTAGGTGCAGAGAGTCTCCCCTTGCGATGGGTGTGGCACAGTCCCTGCCCTTGGGGAACTGTAGTCCAAAGGGGGGAACAAGGTTCCTGCTCTCAGAGAGCTAGTCCGATGGAAACAGGACACACACATGAGGATGGCATAAACATACCTGTCAGTCAGTTGATACATATATGTATAAAAATTACTGTGTCCTAAAATAATCGGATGATAGGAGGCTAGTTGAGTTTTTTAGGGTATGAAGAGAATGTTTTCATATGAGTGATTCAAACGTTCTGGGAACCTCAGACTAATTCACCCTTCGCATGATATGAATTCCTTTGTGAAGGTGGTCTGGACTAGATGGTCCAAACAAGTGAGTGTTGGGGGGAACTTTCTCTTATCAGGTTACATTCATAGTGGCTTTCCCTTCCCTTCCCTTCCCTGGCTGTAGGTGGACACGTGTATAAATGAAGATGTCGAGAGCTTGAGGAAGATGGTGCGGGACTTGCTCGCCAAGCTGCAGGAGGCCGAGCAGCAGCACCAGTCAGATCGTGTGGCTTTTGAGGTGAGATTTGGGATTTGAGGAGAAGGTGCCCCAAGGGCTGGGCTGCTGGGTATAGGTGCCAGTGACTTTCTTGGTATGGACTTCATGTCGTTCTGGCTGGGTGCCATCAACTGGAAATTCTAGGCTTTGAGGCCTGGGGCACTTCCTGTCTGCTTTTCCCTCTCCTGGGTATTTATAGTTTTTGCTCTCCAAGGCTAGCCCATAGTTCAAAGGACAGCTCTACTGAAGTTAAGGGGCGGTGTTCTGGGATAGCAGGTAATTCAGAGGTTGTTTCACTAATTACCATGATAAGAATTACTGGCTCCCGGCCCCATGTAGGCAAGGACAGTTGCTGTCAAGTTCACCACTGCATCCCCAGCACCTGGCACAGTACGTGGCATAAGATGGGCACCTCGTGTGGACTAGATGAGTGTATAAATCTTTGTGGTCTTAGAAAGAACTGTGCCCATGGAGTCGGGGGACTTTAGATGTGGTCTTAGCTTTACTATGCAAAGCTTTGTGATCTTAAGCAAATATCTCAGTTATTGTTATAAAAGTTATACTAGGTTATTATAGAAGATTTAAAAAATGCACGTCTATAAATGGAAAGTGAAAGGCACCCCCCCCACACACACACACACACAATTAAAAGTATGTGAGGTCTTCCATACTTTCCAGAAAGTTCTTATGGATAACCTGAGGAACATTGGGCAGATACTAGACAATTTTTTAACTACTGTGTGTGAGATTAACCATCTGTTATCTGCTGCTGTTCATCCATATGTAAGGGATTTGAGTCATAAATGTGTAATGATAGAACCGTGCCCTGCCCAGACCTGCTGGGAGCTGGTGGAAAGAGGAAGGCCCCCCAAACTCTTCTCTTTTACGAGACTGGTGTTTTGAAGGGAGGGTTGCGGGGAGGAAGAAGGGCGCTGAGAATGACTGACTGCCTCTCGAGTAGCCGACGTGTTACTTGAGCAAGGAATTAAACTCCCTAAGCATCAGTTTCGACTTTTGTAAAAAAGTGGTCATGAAGTGGGCTTGGTGTGTGGATGGAGTGTGATAATTTATGTAAATATAGTTATTACTCTGAAGGGTTTTAGAAATGTGAGCTATCCTATATTTTTCTTAGTGAGTAGTTGAACAAGCAGGTTTTCCTCTCCTCAATAGCTCCGACTGAGGGCAATGCTAAGATTAGTTTGGTCTCAGAACAAAGCTGTTCAGTAAAGGAGTTTGCCACATATATTCAGAGTCCACAGTCTGGATAATGTGGTTGATGATGTATCAGTTTGGTGACCAGCTGTTCCCTACTTTCTTGGAGAACAGGAGGAAGGGGAGGTTGAGGCTGCAGCACTGACCAGACTGTGCATTTTGGAGAGAGATTTCTTCATTGACAGGCATTGTGAAGTACTTGTTGTTTTTGACCACACATAGAGGGCTCTGTGAGCCCTGGTTTCAAAGCCTGAGCAAGTGTCTTAAGTAAAAGCCTGAGGCTCTAGCCACACGCCCATGGTTCTTTCGAAGGGGCTGGCCTTTGACCGCATGGTACACAGGACCCACCTGCAAACAGGAGGTACTCCTTGGATTGGTCCCACTGTTGGGGTAGGTTGGCACGCTTTTATGATGAAGAGGTTCCTTTAGGGCAGGGCAGGGCTGGCCAGAGTTACAGAGACAGACATAGCAGGGGAGTGTGGTTTTCTTTCTTCTTTGTGATCTTACAGTGGGGTGGGAGGATCAGTCTCTGTTCTGTTAACACTGTGTTCCGAGAACACATCAACCTGTACAGTGTTTATGTACAGAAATGAGAGGCCTTGTTTTGTAAGTTCCTGCCCATGGGGCTGGCCTGTACCAGGCTAATGTGGGATTTTCTCAGTCTCTCCTAATGAATTAGACTCTGTGGTCTGCTTTCCTGAACCTGGGGGTAGGAAGGACAAGGATGTCAATTACCATGAGAACAACCTGCCATTAAGCCTGGTTTCTCGTTTTGCTGGCTGCTTGCTGTGAGGAAGGATTTGCAGTGAGTGTGCTCTGGACAGGGCTGCTGTGCAGCATAGACACGTCCTAGCACAGATCATCCTGTGCTTTGCTTTCTCCTCCCTAATTCTGACTCTGGGAGGAGCTGGACAAACTGGCTTCTGGTGTTCTATTTTCCCAGGGCTGGTTAGGCTTTCCAGAGGTTACCTGGGTTCTCTTAGTAACTGACTGGGGAGTCAGTGTGGGGTAACTGGGAAGCATTGAAATGGACGATGAAGTAACTGGGTTCTAGCTGTGTAACCTCAAATAGGTCATTTGACCTTTATTTGGGAAAGGAGAGGGTTGGACTAGATGAACATCAATCCATTTGCGATTTTATCGAGCAGTGACTATGTGATGGATACTGTGCTGAGCTCTGGAAATGTAATGGTGCTCAAGGTCTCTGTCATCATGAAGCTGATGGTCTACTGGGGTGTACACATGAGGGACTGGGCACAATCCACTCAGTGCTCTAAGAGGGCAGGGCTGTGTCCTCTGGGCATCTCATTCAGGCTCGGCAGCTCTGTGGAGGCAGGGTGTCTAAGCCGAGACCTGAAGGATAATTAGGAGTTGGCAAAATGCGTGTGGGAGGAAAGGAAGCAAATTTCAACTTTACTTTTCATTCTAAAATTGTACTTCTGTTCTTTCCAAATTAGTTTATCATCTTAGATTTTAAAAAATTTTCTTCCTGGTGCTTAGTAGCCTTTGGCCTTTGTACATAGGCTGCAGTCTGGCTTGCAAAAGGGTGAGGAAGAGTTGGGGAACAGAAGGAGAGACGTGGAGTATCCTCCCCTGGATCCTCTGTGTTTGCTTTAGTGGGAAAGTCACGGTGTTGGGTGACTTTGGGTGGCATTGGAGGACATGTGGGATGTTGAAGTCAGCCGCTGGAAAGTGGTGCTTACTTCCAGAGGTTCCTCTAAAAAGCTTGACCATCTACGTGCCAATGAGCCCTAGACATGGAGTTAATCTGCCAGTCTCTCAAGTGGTCCTAGAACAGTGATGGGAGAGGACCGTGTGCTCATCAGAGTTACCCCCCTTCTCCCATCACTGCACCCAGGTTCCTAGGTTCTTTTCTGAGGTTTTTATCCACGTTTGGTCTTTTGTCTCCCTACTTCATACATCGCCATCCTGTGTCTTAGGTCACACTCAGCCGGTACCAGAGAGAAGCAGAGCAGAGTCATGTGGCCCTTCGGAGAGCAGAGGACAGAGCGGAGCAGAAAGAAGTGGAAGTCGGAGAGCTGCAGAGGCGCCTGCTCGGGATGGAGACGGCAAGTGGGGAGCCCTGCTCTTCCAAGTGCAGCCCGGGATTGACTGAGATGCTCGTGGAGACTCCCATCTGAGCAGTTCCAAGAAAACACACTTCCCAGCTTCCTTTGGCAAATACCTTTGAGTATCTTTTAGCCGTTAGGGAAGGAAAGGCCTTTCTCTCATCTAACTTCAGCTCTTTCTAACCAGAGTTGAGCCCATTTCCATTGTAGCTGGATTATTTGACAGCTGCCCTTCATGGGCTTTTGGAGACCGTTCCTAAGGAGCCACACAGTTGGTTTCTGAGGGATTGGCAGCCATAGCTGGATAATGCAGGGCCAGGCTCTCCCTCTGGGCATCTGGGTGAGGCTGGGAAGTTTCTGTGTGCTGAGGGTGGGAAGGGTTCTCCCTGACAGTGGAGGGTGCCCCATCAAACCAGCTTGGCCTGCTGCTCTTTGGCAGCTATCCCAGGCCCAGCAGGAGCTGAGCCCCAACCCTAGTGGCCATCTCACCCCCAATGCAGAACCTGATGCCATCTCCTCATCCTAGATGTTCTTTCCTTTGGCCCCTCCAGGAGCATCAGACCTTACTGGAGAAGGTCAGGGAAAGGGAGGTGGCCCTGGAGGAACTTCGGAGCAAGAATGCCGACTGCCAAGCAGAACAAGAAAAGTAAGGGCCCAGGCCCTGTTCGCCATGAAGCCAGGGTGCAGGGAGGGGAGGGCGGGCCACACAGCCTGCAGCTACCAGGGTGGCCAGACCTGGGGACGAGCCTGGTGCTGATGTCAAATCTTCCAGCTCTGACTCACAGTGTGCCCTCTCAGGGTGGGGCCCCACCCAGGGAGATACTGTTTGGGAAGCCGCCATCTCCCGGGAGTTCATTTTCCATGGAGTAAGAGAAGGGTTTTATTTTGAGAACCAAGGTCAAGAGCTGGAAAAGCATCTGCCATTGCAGCACATCAACCCACAGCTTGTTTCCCTGGATGTGGATGGGGGATTTTTATACCAGTTTCCTCCTCGCAAAACAACTGACTAGAAACCACTTGAGGGCAAAATCGAGTAGCTTCCTCACAAGTTGTGCTGACAAAAAGTATAGTGAGCCCTGGCCAGTTTGGCTCAGTGGTAGAGGACGGCTTGCAGACCAATGAGTCTCAGGTTCAGTTCCAGCAAAGGGCATGTGCCTTGGTTGTGGTTTGTCCCCGGCCCTGGTTGGGGTCGTGAGGGAGGCAACCAGTTGATGTGTCCCTCTCACGTCGATGTTTCTCTCCTTCTCTCTTTCTCCCACTCTATCTGAAGATAAATAGAAAAATATCCTTGGGTGAGGATTAAAAAATAAACAAATAAACAAAAAGTACAGTGAGCAACTCCGTGCAGAGACACTGCACTTCCTTCACTTGAAGCAGCTCAGCAACTGAGGGCCACCTGTCAGCACAGAGGGGATTTCTGAGCCCCTTTCCACTTCGAGGTCAGAGTGTTTTACATATTCCCTCTAATCAGAGGGTATTGGAGACCCCAGACCAGTGAAACCTACAGAGCAAATATTGGGCCATTCCGGACTTTCAGTAATTTGGAAATTCTTTATGACACTGGCAATTGATAAATAAGATCTCTAGTGGTAAATCAAATTTGTTTTTTTAGTTCTCACCTGAGGACATTTTTGTATTTATCTTCATATAAAGCGGGAGGAAAAGGGGGGAAGAGAGAGAGAGAGAAACATCGATGTGAGAGAGACACATCGGCTGGTTGCCACCCACACGACCCCAACCGGGCCAGGGATAAACTGCAACCGAGGTACATGCCCTTAGCGGGAACCAAATCTGGGACTCTCTGATCCACAGACTCTAACCACTTGGCCAAATCGGCCAGGGCGGTAAATCAAATTTAACATCAACATATTAGGTCTGATCTTCATTGTATGAGTTGGACCTTTTCAAGTTCAACAGACATGACTTGAAGGGCCTTCTAAGGAATTCCAAGATTAACAGACATGATCCTTGCCTTCTTGTACCCCTCAGTCTGCTGGGGGCATTTTCTCTTTGGGATAACCACAGTCTAGGCCTACTTGGCATGGAGCATGCAGTCATACAGCTTCCTTTCTGACTTGACTTCATAGCAAGAATTGCTTTAAATTACATTCCCCCTTCCTCAGTGGTGGTGCTCACTCACCAGCAAGGGACAGAGAGGAATGAACAGAAGAAACAAAAGGCCAGATATCACCCTGGCCAGTTTGGCTCAGAGGTTAGAGCATCAGCTTCAGACCAAAGGGTCATAGGTTCTATTTCTAGTCAAGGGCATGTACCTAGGTTGCAGGTTCGATCCTCAGCCCCTGTGGGAGGCAACCAATAAATGTGTCTCTCTCACATTGATGTTTCTCTCTCTGTCTTCCTCCCTTCCACTCTATGTAAAAAGGCTAGATAATCTAAAACCAAGGTTTGGGGATGGCAAGTAATAGCTATGCATCATAAATGTTGATTTTCTAAATGAAAGGACACTAAGAGAGTACTGGAGTGCTGAAGATAGAAATTTAGATTGTTTGAAGCTTAGGAAGGATGTTTGGGGGCTTAGATTGCATTGTACCCCATCCCCAGCCCCATAAATGCTCACCTTCTAACAGCAGGCATTTATCTGCTTCCTCTGGCAAAAACGGAGAGTAGTGGGTACCAGAATTCTTCAGAGGTCTAAACTCCGGGACACTCTCTCCAGCCACCTTACCTTTGGGGATCTTGGCCCAATTTGCTTAGACGATGCAAAGGAAACAGCAGTGTCTAGGAATCAGGAGACTTAGAAATAGACTTGTATGAAAAGGCTTTATGGATTCTCAAATCTGATCTCCCTCTTGATATAAAATCCCTGCCACCAGCTTGATGGTGTTGGCTGTCATAATCCCAGCTCCTGCTTGATTCTTTCTTGGAATGAGGAGCTCACTACACACAAGGCAGTCCAATTCTGACAGCTTTAATACTGAGAGTCTTTCTACATTTACATAAGAGCTGCTTTCCTGGAACACCTACTTACTGTTTCTAGTTTTGCCCTCTAGAACTATTCAGAATGACTTACCACTTCTTACCTTTCTGAGCCTCAGTTTCCTCATTTGGACTACATGATCTCTAGTGATGCTTCCAATGCGACATTCCCCCTTCTACTCCATAGGGCAGCCACTGAAGAATTGGGCAGAGGGAATCACATCAGATGGAAACCCTGAGCCCAAGGCTCTTCCTGGGACTGGATAGACAAAGCATCTTTTCCCCTTGCCTCAGCCTTCTGCTCTTTATCCCCAGAGCTGCTAACCTGGAAAAAGAAGTGGCCGGGTTGCGGGAGAAAATCCACCACTTGGATGACATGCTCAAGAGCCAGCAGCGGAAAGTCCGGCAAATGATAGAGCAGGTAAGCAGATCAGGTCTCCCCTGCCATGGGTTACCCCTCTGGAAGTCACCGCAACGAGTCTAGCCGTGTTTGCTTTTATTTACTTATTTATTCTCCTGGGGAGCTTGGCTTATATTTGGAAGGGTTCCATAAATCACATTTATGCTACCAAATCACAATAAACTCCTCAGTGTGCAGATTATCAACCCTGTACCTCATGGCAGATTTTCTGCTTTCCCCCACCTGAGCTAGAGGATAGCATACTCAGGAAATGCCCATTTGCCAAACTGTTTTGAGAACCTAAGACCCCTAAGTGTCATGGCATATTTGCTTCATGTCAGCCCCATGAGGGCCAGGATTTCTGTTTTGTTCACTGTTGTTTCCTGTTGTCTACAGTAGGGCCTATCATATAGTAAGCACTCAATAAATATTTCTTAAGTGAATAAAAACTTGTGTTTCCCAAAGTGAAATGGAATGGTTTTGGAATCATCCATTATTTTGGATTATCAGGGTGGTGTTCCCCTCACATCTCCTATCCCCACACTGGGATAATCCAGAGTTTAATAGTGACTGAAATGAGTTCGGCTGGTGTGGCTCAGTGGTTGAGCATTGACCCATGCGCCAAGAGGTCGCAGGTTCGATTCCCAGTCAGGACACATGCCCAGGTTGTGGGCCTGATCTCCAGTAGGGGGCATGCAGGAGGCGGCCAGTGTTCTCTCTCACTGATGTTTCTCTCTCTCTTCCTCTCACTTCTCTCTGTAAAAAAAAAAAAAAAAAAATCAATAAAAAAAAATTTATTTAAAAATATTGACTGAAATGAGGCTTTTATAGAAAAGCCAAGCAACTCATGTGAATAGTGCAAACTTGGCCTTTAGTCTCTGCTCAGCAGCGGGGTGAAGTTTGATGAGTGTGTAATGAGTCATTTCAAAATGAGCTCCAGTGTCTCCCATATCTTTGTAGCTCCAGAATTCAAAAACTGTGATCCAGTCAAAGGACACCACCATCCAGGAGCTCAAGGAGAAAATGGCCTACCTGGAAGCAGAGGTGTGTGCGCTGGGCAACCCCAAGAAGGGAGTAGGCTCTTGAAGAGAAGACTGGACAGAAGGGAGGGAGCATGTCTGGGGTGCAGGGGCTTGTCTTGTCCAGCTGCTGCCTGGAAGTGAGTATCTGGGATGGCTGGTTGATCTTCAGTTCAGCTGAGTAAACATTTTCTGAGAAACTTTAGGAAGTTGCTAATGATGTGTCCTGGCAGCATGGAGGCGAGCCCTTAGTTCTGCCTGTGGGCTTAGCAGAGGAGCTGACCGCAGAGTGGGGCTTTGAAGAAGGAGGCATTCCATAGGGGAGTCTCTCCATGGCCAAGGTGATGGGCTCGATTAGCTAATGGTTCTTCCTCGTCTAGTTTCCACCTTACGTCGGAGCCCTTCCTGTCTATTGACTACCTGAAGGTTGCTTTGCAGCCACTGTGTGAAATTCCCTTGCGGCGGGCGAGATAAAAAGAAATGGGAGACAAGGTTGCTGGTCTTCAGAGAGTTTGCAGTCTAGAGTTAGAGATAAAATACATTTTTTAAAAAAGACCTAAGAATACTTTATGGAATAGCATATCAACAAGGGCAGGTAAATATCTCAGCTGGCTCCAGGAAAGTATATGCAGGATGTGTATGGAGAGGAGATACGGGAAATGATCGGTGTTGCACAGAGCTATTGGGAGAATGCTCCTCTGGGAAGGGCCGGAGCAATTACTGGAGGAAGAGAGAGCTGGGTCGGGGAAGACAAGGGGAGAGGGCATCCTGGTGGTGGCACGCATGGCAGGGGTGTGTCGACAGCAGCACAGACACAGGTGGGGAGACCAGAATGAGCTGGTTAAATGTGCCGGACGGCAAGCCAGAAGAAGGCAGGTTCTAACCTCATAACTTCTGGTACAGAATTTAGAAATGCACGACCGGATGGAACACTTGATAGAGAAACAAGTCAGTCATGCCAACTTCAGCACCCAGACCTGGGTCAAGACAGAGAATCTGGGCAGGTGAGTGGGCGTATATGGAGTGCGGCTCCTGGGGGAAGTGAAGGAAAGGGACAGAGCTGTGACAAACCTTTCGTGCTAAGGCAAATAAATCTTTTATTTATTTATTTATTTACTTACTTACTTACTTACTTACTTACTTATACCTTTTTATCCTCACCCGAGGACATTTTTCCATTTTTTGTTCAGATAGTGTGGAAGGGAGAGAGAGAGAAAGAGAGAAACATCGACGTGAAAAGGACACATCAAGTGGCCGCCTCCCACAAGACCCAACCAGGGCCAGGGACAAACCGCAACCTAAGTACATGCCCTTAACGGGAACCGAACCCAGGTCTCTCTGGACCGCAGGCCGATGCTCCAACTGCTGAGCCAAACCAGCCAGGGCCCAAGGCTCTTTTAAATCGCAGTTTATTCTCTCAGTCTCTAATCTGACCCATTCTCTATCTGAACCATTTTCTAACCAGTTTCAAATAGAGCATGCTACCACAACCCCCAGCAGGCCACGGACAGCTGGCGGAAGTGTATGAACCCTCTGAAATTGTATGCAAAAATGTGTATGTGTAATATGTGCATATTTCTAGGAAGAGGGCCTTCTTTTTCCCCTCAAGGGATTCACAAAAAAAGTCCAAGACATTGAAAAAATCAAGAATCACAACTACACTCACTTCTCAGTTGTTTGGTTGCCCCCCCTCTTTTCGTCACCCTGCCACCAGACAAGTCCCACCCAAGGCTTCCCTGATGTCACTGACGATGACTGTCTCAAAGCATTTGGAAACCGAGAGCTCAGCCAGCACTGAAGTGTAGAATTCCAGAGACAGATAATGGAGGGGTGGTTCTGTGACAAGTGGGCAATGACACAAACTCAGTGTTTCCAATTTCCTTTTCAGCGTGAGGATAGCCAAGCCCCCCAGCCCAAAGCCCATGCCTCTCATCCGAGTGGTGGAAACCTGAGCCGAGGAGGAGGATGCCGCTACTGCTGCTGCCTCTCGCCTGTGGAGACACTCGCCATCACTGTAGGCCGCTAGCACTGACTTTCACTTCCTTACCATTCCCTGGCTGCCCTCAGGACTTGGGGTTTGTGTGCCCCGCGTTTCCAAACTCCTGTCCTCGGTATGCTGAGTGGATGAAGGACGAGCGCCTCCTCTGGACACCGCAGCCCTTGGAGGACAGCATCCTGCTGGCAGGAACCAGGGCGGTATCCTTATCCCTGTAGTTACTGTTTTTCTCTTAGCAGAGCCTCCCTTCTGTTGTAGACTGGAGCTCAGCAGCCCCAGGCCCTTCTCCAGTTGAGAGAAGTGAAGAGATGTCAAGATTTGCCTCGGCCCTAGAAGATGGAGACACAGATGTCCAGTGATTGGAGAGTGTCCTGGGGGAACAAAGTTCCTTCCAAAAACAGAGCTCAGTTCTTAGCAACAAACTATTTTTCTACTGGCTCCACCCTCAGCTCATGCTGACCCGGGTCTCCTCCAGCTTCAACCGGCCAGCCTGTCTTTCTGGGGAGAAGGGAATATACACTCAGGGAGTAGCTTTGAGCAGAAAGATTGTGTAGGGCCACAGACTGTTATGTGTGACTTCTCTGCTTTGAAGACTCCCAGGATCTCTTAGGGATCCCCCTAAGATGCAGTACAAGGTACACCTCAGTCATCTCGACTGACTCGGAGCCTAAAAACTATTTTCACTGGGTTACATCAATCTCAGCGAAACTCTCGTTCTATTTATTTTGCTAAGTTATTGGTGTTTTTGCTTATATCTCACAACTGATTCAGTACCCGAGTTCTTCAGCCTTCTCTTGCGATGCTTAGATTTGCTTGACACTGGGAAAGTGTTCCCACTGGATTTCATTTCAGAACGACATTGTCATAAATCTTTCTTTTTCTTTTACCTGCCTTGTACCCCTTCCTCCTCCACATCTGATCTGTACCTCAGGAAGGCAAGTATATTTGCCTGAGACATCAGGTCCGGGTGTGTATTCGGGGAAAGAGGGTGATCAGGACTCGGGGAGGAATGGAATTCTTCCCCTAACCCCTCTGCACCCCTCTGCTTCATTGTGGGTTTGTTGTCTGGTTCTGAATGACCCTACCACTCTAGTGTTTTCTTTAGGGCTCTTCCTTAGCCTCAAGAGGAAGAAAAGCATCAGAATGTGCTACTATAGGACACAGAAGAATGAAAAATAAACATAGATTAAGTCTTTAGGTTCTGTTTGGTTCAGACTAGAAGATTTTAAGTCTGGGTGTTTCTCTGTCACGTTCTGGCTTTGTCGATAATGGTGTTCTGGTTTCTTCATGCAGTTTCCACATTTGTAAAACCAGGGGTTTAGACTGGTTGATTTCCATGGGCCTTTCCAGTTCTTATATTTTTTCCTGTGCTATGTCCTTTGTATGGTGAATTTAATAAATTATGTTGATGAGTCTTTTTGAGCTCCTGGCCTGATTTCTTTTTACTTTTCAGGAAGGATGAAATAACATAATTTTAGTGACTCTGGAAGATGGGCACCTTGTTGTCCACTTCTGGGAGGTGTGGCCCGGACACCCCAAATACTGTGATATGAGGCTTCTGTGGCATTCAAAGGAGTTAGAATGTCCCTGTTCAGCAGCCCAGCACCGTGGCCTGAGTCCTCCGTTAGAGGAGGTGGCCCCTAAATTTAGCTGTGACCCTGTCTGGGCGGTGGCCTTGTGGGATCCCTAAGCTTGGCCAGTGTGTGTCCTCAGTTAGAAAAGAACTGGTCAGAGGCGGAGATCCTGTAATTAGAGATGTGCCAATCGGCACCGGAGGCAGCTGAGTAACTCCACATTCTCTGCAGAAATAAAAAGCACTGTACGTGCTGATTACAGCTATTGAAGGGTTTAGTTTTTGGCTATCTCTGGACATCATTCAATCAGTCAGTGCTCTTTTTCTTTCTGCCAAGGATGGAGCTGACTGCAGGGCCAATGGAGACACAGCTGAGTTTACACGGATCTTCTCGGGACCAAAGAAACTAGAAATGCACCCCCTTTCATCTCTGGCCATTTCTTCTCTCGCCCCCTTTCTCCTGCAACGGAAAGAATGTAAATTTTCCTCATAATTTTTCTGCCCCTTTCTGCTTCCCAGGTAACTCACACCCCAGGTTTCAGAACATATTAGAAACCTGATTTAAACCTGGGTTTGTCTTCTCACAGTCCCTGGTTCACTTTCTCTGGCAGCCTTGCTCGGCGTGGGTTATCTAGACTGTGCTTGTTTTGAGAATGAGGAGGGTGGAGGCAGGGTGGGGCTGCCTCAGGTGCCCAGGAGACTCGCCAGGCTGCAGGAAGCCGAGTGAGTGCTGCCGTGCAGGAAAGGGAGGCGCTCGACCTGGGCCCTGGGTCTTGGTGGACAATCCGAGATTCCAGCTGGAGGTAATCAAGTGTTCTGGGGACACTCCGGAGACTAGAACCAGGGCACCGAGAGCTTCCTTGGACAAAAAAAGTACCCCTGGTGTGTATTTCCCAGACTTTAGTTGTATCACCACCAAAAAGGAGCAGGGGCTTGCCACAGAGGCGAAGGAGGGTCTCTGGGAGGAGAAAGGAGTCGAGGGAAAGGTAGGTTACATCTTGGCAGCCTTTTTAATTAGAGAAACAGGGTGGGGACCAGAGGACAACGAGATAAGGCACAGGGCCCGCGAAGGTGCAGTGAGTAAGCTGCTCCTGACGTTAGTGGCCTGTTTGTTGCCTGCCCTGGTTATGTCATTCGTAAATCAGCTCTTCCGTGCCTCGAACATTCTGTGGAGGGGAGATTGAGTCTGACTCCCTGGGACCTGCACCATGAAGGCCAGTTTCTCGGAGCTGAGTGTGGAGAGCTGCCCAGACACGTAGCCATCAGCAGCCTCCCGTAAACCAGGAGCATCAGCCCGACGTGGGAAAGCAGCTTGCAGGAGCACCCTCGCCTCCCAACCACTGCTCCCATCCTCCTACCTCTTCTTTGGTCCCCTCTTCTGACAGGGACATGGTATTTCAACCAAATGCTGCATTGGTACATTTAAACAACTGAGTTTCTAAAGTCAGGAGTTGATTTGCTCATATTTAAAAGAAACTCTCAGCCCCGGCCGATTTGGCTCTGCGGTTAGAGCATCGGCCTGCGGACCAATGAGTTGCGGGTTCAGTTTCGGTCAAGGGCATGTACCTCGGCTGTGGTTTGTCCCCGGCCCTGGCTGGGTTGTGCGGGAGGTAACTGGTCGATGTGGCTCTATCACATCGATATTTCTCTCTGTCTCTCTCTCTCTCTCCCTTCTTCCCACTTTATCAGAATAATAAGTGGAAAAATAACCTCGGGTGAGGAACAAAACAAAACAAAAAAAGAATAAAAGGAACTTTCACTATGAAATGATCGATGATTTACTCTGGAAAGATACTCTGACATGATCATTTGACCGAGGAGGGTAATGTCCCCTAGGAAAGAACAGCAGCCTTTTCTCTTTAATCAGCTCTTCAAATTGTGTTGCTGTTTTTTGTGGGTCCTCTAATGATCCCCGGGGCGCTCTCACTCCTTGGAGACAAGCACTGTGAGCTTGGGCCTGAGCTTGTTTAGGCTCTGACCCAACAGTAGATGCTAGCCTAGGGCCCCTGGCCTCTTTTCCGCACTTCAATTTAGGACTCTAGCTTTGCAAGGAGAAATTGTTTCCTATCTTCTCTGTCCCAATTCTAAGCACCATGGCCTTGAAACTCAAAGTTAGAGACCTAAATATTCTGCACCCTCCCCTCCCCCCCACCTTTCTCCAAGGAAAATCCTTATCTAGGTTAAGGATAAAGGAGCTTTTTTTTTTTTAAAGGTGAGCAATTTCACCTCTGTGTGCTCTGTGGGTTGGCTGGGAGACCTACTTTGAACTCTAAAATGTGAGTGGCCTTTCCCCTGGAATCTTCCCCTGGAGCCCAGTGGCTCATGGGATTGAGGGTAAATGGTGGCAGGGTAATTAATTTCCTGGCAGGGTGTTGGTTGCCAAGTCTTAGAGGGCAGGATCTTAGATAGCTGAGGGGAAGGAAGTCTTTGGTCCTCACGACTTGATCAATTCAGTGCCGATTATCCACCAAGGCCTTTCCTCCCTCTCATTGTGTTCTGGGCCCAAACTTGCATATGTCTGCAGGAGTTCCAGGACCCCTACATCTGTTTTATGTCTATCTATGTGTGTTTGTATGTGAACTGGCCAGCTGTATAAAATACATTACAGTGGGGAAAAAATTGGAAAAACACTGGTGTTTAGGAAAAACTTTTCCACCTGTGTGTCTCCTGTACTTACTAGTCACACAAAAACACTTCACTTCTGACACATCTGATCACCAGGCTTTTCCCCCACACCAAGCAGTTCTCTGTGACCCCAGCTAGGTGTTCTGTAATTTAACTCGATTCTGACACTGTCCACTGGGAGATAGTATCAGTCCCACAGGTTAAGGACACAGTCCCACAAGACTGCCCCCCACAAATAGAAGGTCACCAGGTTACCCACAACTTATGTCCAACTTGGCTACAAATCAGACTTTGATTAATTAGCTAGAGCAGTTTATAGAGCTCAGGGAAACACATTGACCAGTTTATTAAAGGATATGATAAAGGACACAGGTGAACATCCAGATAAAGCGATAAATACGGTGAGGTCTGGGAGCGTCCTGAGTGCAGGAGCTTCTGTCCCTGTAGGGTTGGACTGTGTCACCTTCCTGATATGCATGTGTTCAACTCGGAAGCTTTCTAAACCCCACACTATTGGGATTTTAGGGAGGCTTCCTCGTGTAGGCACGATCAATTAGTAACTCAATTTCTACCCCCTATCTCCTCTCTGGAGGGTAGGGAATAGGGCCAAAAATTCCAAGGTTCTGATCATGGCTTGGTCTTTTTGGTGACCAGTTCCCACCCAGGAGCCCACTTAGAGTCTCCTCAACAAAAGATGCTCCTCGTGCTCTTAGCACATAGGAAACTACAAGAGCTTTAGGAGCCCTGTGTCAGGAACCAGGAGCAGAGACCAATATATATTTGTTCTTTATTTTATTTTTTTAATCCTTACCTGAGGATATTTTTCTATTTATCTTCAGGTAGAGAAAGGGAGAGAGAGAGAGAGAGAGAGAGAGAGAGAGAGAGAGAGAAACATCCATGTGAGAGGGACACATCGACTGGTTGCCTCCCGCACAACTCCGACCAGGGCTGGGGATGAACCGCAACCAAGGTACGTACCCTTGGCTGGAATCGAACCCGGGACTCATTGGTCTGCAGACCGATGCTCTACCACTGAGCAAAACCAATGTATATTTTTTCTATTATCTTACAACTGATCTATAGCACAGATCTCTCTCCTTGGATATATTATCATCTCAGGGTCAGGAGGACCTAAGTTGACTAACTCCCGGCTATCTCCTTTATTCAATCTCTCTCACTCTCTCTTAGTAGACAGAAATCACTCTCTTCAGTAATTCAGGCTAGACATTTTTTTTTTTAATCCTCACCCAAGGACATTTTTCCATTTTTTTATTCAGACAGAGTGGGAGGGAGGGAGAGGGAGAGAGAGAGAGAGAGAGAGAGAGAGAGAGAGAGAGAGAGAGAGAGAAACATCAACATGAAAGGGACACATCGAGTGGTTGCCACCCGCACGACCCAACCAGGGCTGGGGACAAACTGCAACCGAGGTACGTGCCCTTAGTGGGAACTGAACCCAGGTCTCTCTGGACCACAGACCGACGCTCTAACCACTGAGCCAAACCGGCCAGGGCAAGGCTAGAAATTTTTATTTTATTTTATTTTAATCCTCACCCAAGGATGTTTTTATTGATTTTTTTTTTTTTTGAGAAAGAGAGAGAAACATCGATCGGTTGCCTCCCGTACGCAACCTGGCTAGGAATCGAACCCACAACATTTTGGTGTACAGGATAACACCAACCAACTGAGCCACCCGGCCAGGGCTCAGGCTAGACATTTTAAAATCATCTTTGACTCTTTTCCTTCCTTTATCCCTCTGTCCTGTTCGTCAACATGTCCTAATGTTTCCTCTTTTGGAATCTGTCAGACTTGCCCCTTTCCATATTCACAGCCTTGTCTCATCCAGTCTTTAAGCTTGGATTACCTCACTGGTCCCCCATCCTCTAGTCTAACCTGCCCCAAACCTACCCTCCTCACTACCTACGGGTTGGGGTTGTTTAGCCAGGACAAAAGGAGTCTGGGGGGAAACATGATAGCAATCTTCAAAGAGATGAAATTTTGTCCTGGGGGAGGAGGAGCAGTTTTGCTTGTCTAGCTCCAGAGGGCATAACTCAGATCTATGGGTGGTACTTGCAGGGAGACAGCCCAGAAAACAAAAGAATGCCTTGACAATTAGTGTCAATTGGACTTCGTCAAGTTAACCAGTTTCCTCATATACACCCGTAATCTCCCAATTAGAAAACA